AAACCTTTTGTTATTACCAAGTAACACGTCGTTATTAAGAAATGAGTTGTTACTAAGGGACAGGTTGTTACTAAGAAACACGTCGTTACTAATAATGGCTGGAGACGGCTTAAATGGGTAATGAAGAAAAACTTTAATATAAGTTTAACATGGCAGCAAATGTACAACGTTTCGACAAGGTTTTGTCATCATCAGGTATATAGCCCTCGTGTAGCTTTGCGCGAAATTCAAAAACTAACAAATTATAACAAAGCCATATTGGGCTATCTGCTATGTCCACGGCAGGGAATCGAACTCCGGATTTTAGCGTTGGAAGTCTGTAAATTTACCGCTGTCCCACTGGGGGCCAATTCAATCAAATATCCCTTTTTGTCCTTCTCATATAATTAACTGATTTATTAGCATTCAAATTTACGATTAATACATTTCCCAAGTGAATAATTCCTATGTGTTACATTCTATTGTCACTTGCAATTCATTTGACATGGTCTATGTTTAACTACGAATCAACTCTTTTACTGGCACTATTGTAATATTTTTCTCACCACTTGTACAGTTCAAACTCAGGAAAAACACCTACTGAATTTCAAATTAACTGTCTTATAAAACCTGCACAAATAGGACCTTCTACCGATAAAGTAATCAAGTAGTTTCTGACGAGAACTCACGAGTTTTTCTTCATACACAAACACTGGTCTTAGTTCTAGAAAGAAGATACAAATGTTTGTTAACTCTATTATTTTCAGGTTGCAGGTTTATAAGTCACCTATAGCATCATAATAAGAGGTAGGACTTATATTTTATAATTTATATGGGGGAAGGGGGTACTAATTTATGTTGCAAACGATCACGGAAAAGCCTGTCCGGACAAGAAAGAGTATTAAGTAGACGAGCCCTTGAAGAGTTTCAACTACGCTTGCTTGAACAAAATAATCAAGTAGACGAGCCCTTGAAGAGTTTCAACTACGCTTGCTTGAACAAAATAATCAAGTAGACGAGTCCTTGAAGAGTTTCAACTACGCTTGCTTGAACAAAATGATCAAGCAGACGAGCCCTTGAAGAGTTTCAACTACGCTTGGTTGAATAAAATAATCAAGTAGACAAGCCCATGACGAGTTTCAACTAGGCTTGGTTAAACAAAATAATCAAGTATACGAGTCCTTGAAGAGTTTCAACTACGCTTGCTTGAACAAAATGATCAAGTAGACGAGCCCTTGAAGAGTTTCAATTACGCCTGACCTAACGAAAGATTCAAGCAGACGAGCCTTGGAAGAGTTTGAACTACGCTTGTTTGAACAAAATAATCAAGTAGACAAGCCCATGAAGAGTTTCAACTAGGCTTGGTTGAACAAAATGATCAAGTAGACGAGTCCTTGAAGAGTTTCAACTACGCTTGCTTGAACAAAATAATCAAGCAGACGAGCCCTTGAAGAGTTTCAACTACGCTTGCTTGAACAAAATAATCAAGTAGACGAGTCCTTGAAGAGTTTCAACTACACCTGCTCAAACAAAAGGATCAAACTGACGAGCATGTGAATAGTCTCAACTGTCCTCGCAGTAACACCAGAAAACCCATTCTTAATTAGAAGAGTGTGCAACCGTTTATGATAAAGCTACGCGTGACTTATAAATCTGTGTATATTAAAGTTTGTATATGTACAGCACGTAGTCACATGAGGGATATTATGCAAAACGATATTTCAGAGTTTTCAGTACTTTACGGTTGAATGTTGATACACCGGTAATGTTAATTCTCTTTTTAAACGACTGGATATATATATATAAAAGACCAGATGATAGCCACTTTGACGGGATGGAAATTATGTTTGCTTTTATGTTATATTAGGAAAATAATTATATAATACAAGAAATCCATCTTTCATTGTAGTTTTTTTTTTTAATTTCGCGCAAAGCTGCACGAGGGCTATCTGCGCTAGCCGTTCCTAATTTAGCAGTGATTTTGTTTCCAAAATCTCTGTCTGTCTATAATGAAAGGGCCCGGCATGGTCAGGTGGTTAGGGTGCTCAACTCACAATTTGAGGATCGCGGGTTTGAATCCCCATCACACCAAATATGCTCACCCTTTCAGCCGTGGGGCGTTATAATGTAACAGTCAATCCCACTATTCGTTGGTAAAAGAGTAGCCCAAGAGTTGGCGGTAGGTGGTGATGACTAGCTGCCTTCCTTCTAGTTTTAAACGTAACATGTACTATGTTTTTAGTAATTCTCCCGAAATTGTTACAATTCTTTGTTAAATAGTTTTGTTTGCTTGTTATTCCTAAGCCACAAAACTATACATTGGGCTATCTGTGGTGTACCCTTGGCAGTTATCGAAACCCAATTTTTAGCGTTATAAGTCTTTGTTGGATACACAAGGCTGTTCAATGTAAGCGTTATTATTTAGTTTATTTTGTTACTTAATATTTAATGATCGTTTAATTTTCATGACTGCAGTGTGGAAGATTGATTGTTTTAAAAGTGTTAGTTGTGACAATTTTTTTTACGGAGTCGTAAGTTGTGTTTGCAATTACATTTTTGTCTAGGCTTTACTAATATTGTTGACGTCAGGTTACTCGAATCTTCGGTATTTTTCTCGTTACCTTAATTAACTGAGTTTTGTTAAATCAGCAGTACTTTACAGAAAGTTCGAAGCCTCAGTGATCAACATTTAAATATAGGCGACTAACCGAGCGCAAGTTAAGAACAAAAGAAGTACAAAGTAAAGTGAAGTCAAGTGCAGTTAAGTCAGAAAATTAGTTAGCGAAAAATACTTGAAGTTATCCTGCGTGTGAGTGATTAGCTTTAACGATTGGTATTTTAAAGTGTGTTTCACAGTTTAATAGAGATAAGGAGAATAATTTGTCTTGTCAAAGGGTGTTCTAAAGTAATTGAACCCGTCTGTGTGAACTTTAACGAAAGAAGACAATTATTTAAAGTTCGAGATACAACTGTGGTAATCCACGAGGTAGTTTAAGTGAATTATTCACTTATACTATTGTGATAAAAATAGAGCAAAATAATTCGTCTTGTCAATTGGATTCTAAAATAATTGAATCAGCCTAAATGGACTTTTGACAAGAAGAAGAGAACTATTTAGAGTTTGAGATATAACTATGATATCCATAGTGTATTCTTTTGTACATATGTTTAACTTGTTTTGAATATATTATTTTAAAACAAGTGGAGTAACTGTGTGTTGTCCGTTTATTGTCAGATTTATCGTCAACAAGTCACAGACTGTAGAAGAATTCTTAGCCCACATATACATAAAACCCTGACAGTCCTCAGACTCTTACCACTGAGCCACCATCGGGTGGGGGTTGTTAAACTAGAAGATTTTAACAGTATCTAAGAAAAAATTCATAAATAGTGAAACAATTAATTCCATATAACGAGGATAATAGAAATA